TAAAAGCCTCAAAGAAGGAGTCTCCACCACACTCCGGGGCAGAGAGTTCCACTGCTGAACAGCTCTCACAGTCAGGAAGTTCTTCCTAATGTTCAGATGAATCTCCTTTCTTGTAGTTTGAAGCCATTGTTCCATGTCTAGTCTCCAGGGAAGCAGAAAACAAGCTTGCTCCCTCCTCCCTGTGGCTTCCTCTCACATATTTATACATGGCTATCATATCTCCTCTCAGCCTTCTCTTCTTCAGGCTAAACATGCCCAGCTCCTTTAGCCGCTCCTCATAGGGCTTGTTCTCCAGACCCTTGATCATTTTAGTCGCTCTCCTCTGGACACATTCCAGCTTGTCAATATCTCTCTTGAATTGTGGTGCCCAGAATTGGACACAATATTCCAGGTGTGGTCTAACCAAAGCAGAATAGAGGGGTAGCATTACTTCCCTAGATCTAGACACTATGCTCCTATTGATGCAGGCCAAAATCCCATTGGCTTTTTTTGCCGCCACATCACATTGTTGGCTCATGTTTAACTTTTCACGAGGACTCCAAGATCTTTTTCACACGTACTGCTCTCGAGCCAGGCATCGTCCCCATTCTGTATCTTTGCATTTCGTTTTTTCGGCCAAAGTGGAGTATCTTGCATTTGTCACTGTTGAACTTCATTTTGTTAATTTTGGTCATTCATCTCTCTAACCTGTCAAGATTCGCCATGAGAACCTAGCCGTTCTCATGGCGAAACAATACCCAGAATTTGCTTCTTGGTTGAAGTCAGGCAGAGGTTAATGTTTTCTGTCCCAGAAGTAAAAAAAAAAAAAATGGAACCAGTGGAATAAAAATATAGTTTAGTGTGAGGAGGATGGAGAGAGAAAGGGAGAAGCCTGGGGACGGAGGGCGCTTCCTTCCTTTGTGCAAAAGAGAGGATGATGCCGCTCCCAAGTCTTTGGGACAGATGGAGCTTGTTCTGGTGCCAGACCAACGTCCATTCATCACCATCCCTTCCCTTCTGTTTCCAATGCCCTTTGCCATTTGAGCCTGCCTTCTTCCCATGCAGGCGCTCCTTGCTTGCCTTTGCTTGGACTCTCAGCCCCTTTCCAGCCATTGTGGTGGTTGCTGCTGCTCCAGGAGGCTTGTAGGTAAACAGGGCTGGGTCTGGGGTTTTTTTTGGGGGGGGGGTTCTTCTGGGGAGGGGGGACACAGCGTTCCGATGGATGGATCCTTGCCTTTGGAGTGACACCTGCACCTTCGATTTCAGGTAAGCTTCCCCAAAAGAAGCAACGTAGAGTTGGAAGGGGTCCCCAAAGGCCATCCAGTCCAGCCCCTTGATTTGTTCACTGCTGAGGGTCATCTCATCCAACCACTGAAGACCCCAAAAGAAAAGAGCACCCCTCCCCAAAAGCAGACTTTTTCACGCAGCAAGGAAATGATAAAATTTAAAAAAATTGGAAGGGACCCCCAAAGGCCATCTAGTACAACCCCTTGAGGTGGAACTTCACCGCCAAGGGCCATCTCATCTATCCAACCCTTGAAGACCCCAAAAGGAAGACAGCACCCCCTCCTCAAAAGCAGACTCTTCTATAGAATCAAAAATTCGGGAAACCCAAAGGTCATTTAGTCCAGTCCCTTGATTTGCACACTGCTAAGCTCCACCTCATCCAGCCCCTGAAGACCCCAAAAGGAAGAGAGTCCCCTCCCCAAAAGCTGACTCTTCCACAAAGCCGGGAAATGATCGAGTAAGAGAAGGGACCCCTAAAGGCCATCTAGTCCAACCCCGATTTGTTCACTGCTGAGGGTCATCTCATCCAACCCCTGAAGGCCCCAAAAGGAAGGAAGCCCCCTCCTCAAAAGCAGACTCCTCCACATATCCAGAAAATGGTAGAATCAGAGATTCGGAAGGGACCCCCAAAGGCCATCTAGTCCAGCCCCTTGAGGTGGAACTTCATCGCCAAGGGCCATCTCATCTATCCATCCCTTGAAGACCCCAAAAGGAAGACAGCACCCCTCCCCAAAAGCAGACTCTTCTATAGAATAAAAAAATCAGAAGGGACCCCCAAAGGCCATTTAGTCCAGCTCCTTGATTTGCACCTCATCCAACCCCTGAAGACCCCAAAAGGAAGAGAGTCCCCTCCCCAAAAGCAGACTCTTCCACAAAGCCAGGAAATGATCGAGAGAAGGGACCCCAAAGGCCATCTAGTCCAGCCCCTTGATGTGTTCACTGCTAAGGTCCACCTCATCCAGCCCCTGAAGACCCCAAAAGGAAGAGAGCCCCCTCCCCAAGGCAGCCTCTTTCACATAGCCAGGAAATGACAGAATAAGAGATTTGGAAGGGACTCCCCAAAGGCCATCTAGTCCAGCCCCTTGATTTGATAAGGGCTATCTCATCCAACTCCAGCAAAGGATCACTGCCTTGATGTGGCGCTGGAGCTTGAGCACATCAATGATGTCATGAGCAAAACCGTGAAGGGCCACCCAAGACGGGACGGTCGTGGCAGAGAGGTCAGACCAAGCGTGATCCCTGGGGAAGGCAACGGCAAACCACTCCAGTATCCTTGCCAAGAAAACTAAATGGACCAGTACAACCAGAGATATGTCGGTATGCCATTGGAAGATGGGACTCCCAGGTCAGAAGATGGCCAAAATGCTACTGGGGAGGAGCAGAGGATAAGTTCAACTAGCCCCAGATGTGATGACGCAGCTCGCTCAAAGCCGAAAGGAAGGCTAGCGGCCGACGGTACTGGAGGTGAACGACGAATCCGATGCTCTAAAGATCAACACACCATAGGAACCTGGAATGTAAGATCTATGAGCCAGGGCAAATTGGATGTTGTTATTGGTGAGATGTCAAGACTCAAGATAGACATTCTGGGGGTCAGCGAACTGAAATGGACTGGAATGGGCCACTTCACATCAGATGACCACCAGATCTACTACTGCGGAAAAGAGGAACATCGAAGAAATGGAGTAGCCTTCATAATTAATAAGAAATTCGCTAAAGCAGTGCTTGGATACAACCCAAAAAATGACAGAATGATCTCAATTCGAGTGCAAGGAAAGCCTTTCAACATTACAGTGATCCAAATATACGCCCCAACCACAGCTGCTGAAGAAGCAGAAGTAGATCAGTTCTATGAGGATCTGCAGGACCTACTGGATAATACACCAAAAAGAGACATTATTTTCATTACAGGAGACTGGAATGCCAAGGTGGGAAGTCAAATGACAACTGGGATCACAGGCAAGCATGGTCTGGGAGAACAAAATGAAGCCCGACTGCTCACTGGAGAGAAAGATACTAGAGACAAAGTTGAAGTCCTTTGAATGCCACATCATGAGGAGACAGCAAAGCCTAGAGAAGACAATGATGCTGGGGAAAGTGGAAGGCAAAAGGAAGAGGGGCCGACCAAGGGCAAGATGGATGGATGGCATCCTTGAAGTGACTGGACTGACCTTGAAGGAGCTGGGGGTGGTGACGGCCGACAGGGAGCTCTGGCGTGGGCTGGTCCATGAGGTCACGAAGAGTCGGAGACGACTGAACGAATGAACAACAACAACAACAATCTCATCCAACCCCTGAAGACCCCAAAAGGAAGAGAGCCCCCCCACCCCCACCCCGAGGCTGGGTCTTCCATGGTTGAACAGGCATTGGAGCCAGGAAAGGATAGAATCAAAGATTCCGAAGGGGCCCCCAAAGGCCACCCAGTCCAGCCCCTTGATGTGTTCACTGGTAAGGACCACCTCATCCAACCTCTAGAACAGTGTTTCTCAACCTGGGGGTCGGGACCCCTGGGGGGGTCGCGAGGGGGTGCCAGAGGGGTCACCAAAGACCATCAGAAAACATAGTATTTTCTGTTGGTCATAGGGGTTCTGTGTGGAAAGTTTGGTCCAAGTCCATCGTTGGTGGGGTTCAGAATACTATTTCATTCTGGGTGAACTATAAATCCCAACAATTACAACTCCCAAATGGCAAGGTCTATTTTCTCCAAACTTTAGCAGTGTTCACATCTGGGCCTATTGAGTATTTGTGCCAAGTTTGATCCAGATCCATCATTGCTTGAGTCCACAGTGTTCTCTGGATGTAGGTGAACTACAACTCCAAAAACTCAAGGACAACATCCACCAGACCTTCCCAGTGTTTTCTCTTGGCCATGTGTGCCAAGTTTGATTCAGTTCCATCATTGGTGGAGTTCAGAAGGCTCTCTGATTTTAGCTGAACTATAAATCCCAGCAACTCCCGCATTACCAAATGAAAAAAATCAATCACCCCCAACCCCACCAGTATTCAAATTTGCGCATATTGGGTATTTGTGCCAAATTTGGTACAGTGACTGAATATACATCCTGCATATCAGATATTTACATTACGAAGTAGCAATGAAAATAATGTTATGGTTGGGGGTCACCATCACATGAGGACCCGTACTAAGGGGTCGCGGCATTAGGAAGGTTGAGAACCACTGCTCTAGAACATGGCCATACATCCCGAAAAAACCTACAACAACCCAATAATAATAATAATAATAATAATAATAATAATAATTAGGCTGCTTCCTGGTTCCTTCTGGGGAGGTTTGTAAGCAGGGGCAGGGCTGGATGGCCTTTGGGGACCCCTCTCCTCTCCTCCCCAGTGCTGCTGCTGCTGCTTCTCCTTGCTTGTGCCTGGCTGTCAGTCCAGTGTGTGCCTCTGCAGGGAGCCCTTTCCAGCCGGGTGGGCAGCAGAGATAGGCGAGGCAGCAGAGCAGCAGGAGAGCAGGAAGGTGCGCGCGCATTCCCCAGGATGCAAATGAGGGAGCTGCAGCACCCGGGAAAAGGGGCGGAGCCTCGCTTGCAAAAAGGGAAAGTGCTGCTAGTGCTGCTGCTGCTGCTGGGTGCTTCCTGATACTCCCTGGCGCTGAGAAACCCCCCCCCCCCTTATTTCTTTCCCTCCCTCCCTCCCACCTGCCAGCCCAGCCCTTCCTCCATCCATTGAGCACCCCTTTCCCCCTCCCTCTCTCTTCCTGGCACCACCACCCTCCCTCTCCCTCTCCCTTTCGCTTTCCCCCGTGGGTGCGTGTCCTGGGTGTGGATCCTCCCCTTGGCTCCAAGCAAGGAAGGAAGGAGGGAGGGGGCAACGAAGGAGGGAGGGCCGGCCGGCATGCTTCGCGGGCAGGAGGCGGCTGGAGGCGCACACCTGGGCGGCAAGAGGAGCAGGAGCAGAGGGACCCACAGGTGAGTGGGAAATGCACCCTCCAACCCCCCCCCCCAATGTATAGGGCTGTTGAAAAGGGGGGAGGCTTGGCATTAGTGGCCCTTGGGGCCTGCTGCAAGGAGGGGAGGGGGCCCAGGGGTGGAGGGGGTGCAATGGGGAAGACAGGTGTATTATTATTATTATTATTATTATTATTATTATTATCATGAGATTATATCATGACCCCCCCCCTTCCAAAGGGAGCTAAGTATATTATTATGAGATTATTATTATGCACTGGGCTGACCCTTCGAAAAGGGAGATGAGCCAGGGATATTATTGTGAGAATATTGTATCATTATTATTATGCACTAGACTGACCCCCCTTCCTAAGGGAGCCAAGTATATTGTTATTAGAATATTGCATTATTATTATTATTATTATTATTATTATTATTATTATTATGCACTGGACTGACCTTTCAAAAAGGGAGATAAGGGACCAAGGGATATTATGGTGAGAATATTGCATTATTATTATTATTATTATTATGCACTAGGCCAACCCCCCCCCCAAAAGGAGCCATATATATTATTATGAGAATATTGCATTATTATTATCATCATTATTCTGCACTGGGCTGACCTTTCAAAAAGGGAGATGAGCCAGGGATATTATTGTGAGAATATTGCATTATTATTATTATTATTATTATTATTATTATTATTATTATTATGCACTAGGCCGACCCCCCTTCCTAAGAGAGCCAAGTATATTGTTATTAGAATATTGCATTATTATTATTATTATTATTATTATTATTATTATTATGCACTGGACTGATCTTTCAAAAAGGGAGATAAGGGAGCCAGGGATATTATTGTGATAATATATTATTATTATTATTATTATTATTATTATTATTATGCACTAGGCTGGACCCCTCTCCTAAGGGAGCCAAGTATATTGTTATTAGAATATTGCATTGTTGTTGTTATTATTATTATGCACTGGGCTAACCCTTCAAAAAGAGAGATGAGCCAGGGATATTATTGTGAGAATATTGCATTATTATTATTATTATTATTATTATTATTATGCACTAGGCCGACCCCCCTTCCTAAGGGAGCCAAGTATATTGTTATTAGAATATTGCATTATTATTATTATTATTATTATTATTATTATTATTATTATTAGTATGCACTAGGCTGACCCTTCAAAAAGGGAGATGAGCCAGGGATATTATTGTGAGAATATTGCATTATTATTGTTATTATTATTATGCACTAGGCCAATCCCCCCCTCCAAAAGGAGTCAGATGTATTATTATTAGAATATTGCATTATTATTATTATTATTATTATTATTATTATTATTATGCACTGGGCTGACCCTTCAAAAAGGGAGATAGCAGAGGAAGGGATATTATTATGAATATATTGCATTATTATTATTATTATTATTATTATTATGCACTGGGCTGACCCCCCTTCCTAAGGGAGTCAAGTATATTGTTATTAGAAAATTGTATTATTATTATTATTATTATTATTATTATTATTATTATTATTAAGCATAGGCCAACCCCCCCCCCCCCCCCCCAAAAGCAGCCAGATATATTATTATGAGAATATTATTATTAGTATTATTATGCACTGGCCTGCCCCCCAAAAAGGGTGATAGGGGAGGCAGGGATATTATTATGAGATTATTATTATTTTACTAACACATAAACACAGTATGTTGCAGCAAATGAAATATATATATGCTAGATATTATTATTATTAATATTATTATTTGAAACACAAGATGAGTCTGAGTCCACTCTATTATTATTATTATTATTATTATTATTATTATTATTATTATGCTGCACTGGGCTGACCCCCCCCCCCCAAAAAAAAAAGAGAGACAGGAAAGGCAGATTTATATTATTATGAGAATATTACTACTATATTATTATTGTTATTACTTCTACTACTATTATTACTGACCTCTTGCCCTTGGGAGGGGGGCCTGGGGGTGACCGCAAGCCTCTCCTCCTCCTCCCCCCTCCCTTGTGTCCAGAGGGGGTCAAGAGGCCGGAGGAATGTCCTGCACGTGGCCTGGCCTGGCCTAGCTGGATGGGCCAGTTTGTCCAGCCCTGGGGGGGGGGGGGCAACCCTCCATCACCACCACCACCACCATAATTATTATTATTATTGCAGAGCTATGCCCAGTGCCTCCATCCAGAGGGATGTGGGGGGGGGGCATGATTGTGGCCTTCCTTCTGCAGCCCCCCCCTTGGTGCAATGCCCCCCCCCTTTTCAAGGCTCCTTCTCTTCTCCTAGCAACAGAAGCATTGCCTCTTACCAAAGCATTTCTCCCACCCCCCCCCAATTATGCTGCTGCTGCCCCCGCTGCCAAATGCCTGCCCCCCCAAATCCCGGGGGGGGGGGGGTGCCGCTGTGTGACGTCAGGCTCAGTCATAGCCACGGCAGGAGGGGAGGGGGAGGGGTATGTAATCCCTGGGATGTGGGAAAGGGAGGCAGCCCCTGGCCTGATGACCAGGGAGGGGTGGGTCAAAGGTCGCCAGGCCTGCTGGACCCCTGACGGTCATTCCCTGCCCTCTCTCCCCCCCCCCCAATAGTTGTATTATTTTTTAACATCCTTGTTCTTTTGTAATATTGATATGTTTTAGGTTTGAATTTGCATATGATGTGATTTTTAGTGTTAATGCAGCTGACCACAAGGGCTGTCGGGCAGTGGCGCTCTCCCACACCTTTGGAGGCCTTTAAGCAGAGGCTGGGTGGCCATCGGTCAAAGGGGTTTTGATGGTGCTTTTCCTGCAAGGAAGAAAGACGAGGGTTGGACTGGATGGTCTTTGGAGCCCCTTCCAACTCTAGGATTCTATTATTATTATTATTATTATTATTATTATTATTATTATTATTATATATTGTAGTATATATGTATATAATATAATATGTAATATATTAATAAGTAGAGGCTGGATGGCCATCTGTCAGGTGAGCTTTGATGTGCTTCTCCTGCATGGAAGCAGAGGGCTGGACTGGATGGCCTTTGGGGTGCCTTCCAACTGTAATATTCTATTATTGTTGTTTATACTATAATATATAATAATATAACCTATAATGTAATATGTAATATAATATAATAATAATAAGCAGAGGCTGGATGGCCATCTGTCAGGTGGGTTTTGATAGCACTTTTCCTACATGGAAGAAAGAAGGGGGTTGGACTGGATGGCCTTTTAGGGTCCCTTCCAAACTGCAAGATTCTATTATTATTATTATTGTATGTGTGTGTGTATGTGTGTGTGTGTATATATTATTTAGCAGAGACTGACTGGCCATCTTTCAGGTGGATTTTGATGGTGTTTTTTCCTGCATGGAAGGGGGTTGGACTAGATGGTCTTTGGGGTCCCAACTCTAGGAGTCTGTAATTATTATTATTACATAATATATGATAGATATAATGATAATATTAAGCAGTCTGGATGGCCATCTTTCAGGTGGGCTTTGGTGGTGCTTTTCCTGCACGAAAGAAGGGTTGGACTGGATGGCCTTTGGTGATCTAACATTATTATTATTTTATATTTTATATTTTATATTTTATATTTTATATTTTATATTTTATATTTTATATTTGTTTTATATTTTTTATATTTTTTATATTTTTTATATATTTTATATTTTTCTATATAATAATGAATAAGAAATATGTATTATATACAATGGATGGCCATCTTTTGGGTGGGCTTTGGTGGTGATTTTTCCTGCATGGAAGGAAGGGGGTTGGACTAGATGGCCTTTGGTGTCCCTTACAACTCTAGGTTTCTGTTGTTGTTGTTGTTGTTGTTGTTGTTGTTGTTATTATTATTATATAATGTATGATAATAATATTAAGCAGATTCTGGATGGCCATCTGTCAAGTGGGCTTTGATGGTGCTTTTCCTGCCTGGCAGGAAGAAGCGAATTGGACTGGATGGCTTTTGGGGATTGTTGTTGTTGTTGTTGTTACCTAATAAATAACATTACAAAGCCCCCCCCCCCTCCCCTTTTCACCAGTAAGTGCATTATGCGGCCAAAGCTTTGGCGTCCATGGGGTGG